GTAAACAATATCTATTGGGTCTCCCTTTTCCACATGTTTGTTCACCCCCTCAAAAAACACTAACAGGTTAGTGAGACAAGATCTTCCCTTACAGAACCTATGCTGAGTCTTCCTCAATAGTTTTTGTTCATCTATGTGCCTATTAATTCTTTCCTTAATAATAGTTTCCACTAACTTACCCAGTATCGAAGTCAGACTGACTGGCCTATAATTTCCCGGATCTCCTCTGGAACCCTTTTTAAAGATAGGAGTGACGTTAGCTACCTTCCAGTCCTCAGGAATGGAGGCAGATTTTAAGGAAATATGAAATTTACATATTTTTGTCAGATCCACAAGTTCACATCTGAGTTCTTTCAGAACTCTCGGATGTATGCCATCTGGGCCTGGTGATTTATCAGTTTTTAAGTTGTCTATAAGTCGTAGGAGCTCCTCTCTCGTCACCTCAATCTGACTCAGGTCTCTCAACACCGCTCCCAAAATCAGTGGTTCTGGAGTGGGCAAGCACTTCTCATCTTCCACAGTGAAGACAGAGGCAAAAAATGCATTTAGCTTCTCAGCCATTTCCCTATCCTCCTTCAGTACGTACTCCTTTCACCCCTTGGTCATCCAAGGGCCCCACTGCCTCCCTGGCTGGTTTCCTGCTTCTAATATATTTGAAGAAAGTTTTATTGTTGGTCTTTATGGGTTTTTTTGCTTATATGCTCCTCATATTCCCTTTTTGCCTGCATGATCACAGACTTGCATTTAATTTGCCACAGCCTGTGTTCCCTTTTATCAACCTCACTTAGACTAGCTTTCCACCGCTTAAAGGAATCCTTCTTACCTTTTACAGCTTCCATTACTTTGTTAGTTAACCATGCAGGCTTTTTCCTATACCTATTTGTGCCTTTCCTAACCTGTGGTATATATTTCTTCTGAGCCTCTATTCTACGATTGTAGTTTTAAATAGTCTCCAAGCTTCCCCAGTGGTTTTGACCCTTTCTTCTTTTCCTTTCAGTTTCTTCCTCACATGTCCCCTCGTTAGGGTTGCCGATCTTCGCCGGGAGCGGGGGGCTCCCAGCTGGCATCTGGTGCGCGCGCATGCCACCCGGAAGTGACACAACCACGCCAGGCATGCTGGGGGCGGGGCCACGGCCATTCAAGGGAAAACCATAGCGTTTTCCCTTGGATGGCTGTGGCCCCGCTCCCAGCGTGCCCGGTGTGGTCGCGTCACTTCCAGGTGACATGCACGTTGGGGAGGAGTTCCCCCTGGGGCCCAATTCGGTGGCACCGGGGAACGGGCCTCTGGGGCGGGGGTTTCCCCGCCCCCCCCCCCCGGCGGGGCTTGGGAAGCCTACCCCTCGTAACTTTTAAAGTTAAAAGTGGTTGTGTCGGTCTTTTTGGGCAACTCCTTATTTATACAAATGTTGAACTCAATAATATTATGGTCACTGTTCCCAAGTGGTGCAATCACTTTTACATCTCTCACCAGGTCTTGGGTGTTACTTAGGACCAATTCCTAATTTGATGGAGCTCTTGCTATATCAGTGCATACCAATCAGTCTAATCTCATGGCTGTGGAAACCTATAAAATGAAGATGCTACTCTGACCAATTGCAATTGCCACATATGTGTGTAGAGAAATGGCTTTTGGACCTAAGCAGGCTCTTGCCTGTGTTAAGAGTAGATGCCTCTGTAGAAGTGTACTTAAGTATAAGGAATTTGGACACTGTGACTGACATTGCATTTCTGAAGCTTGTGCATTTTAATGACATCAGTGCGAACAAAATCATGCATATGGTGTCACAGTTTCAGCATTTTGAAGGCACAAAAGTCTTCTGCTTTACATTCAATTATTTTGTTTGAATTATAGTTAATTTTGTAAATACACAGCTGTTACATATACTGGTAAAAATCTTAAGATTTTTCTTTCCTCTTTGGAAATCCCTGTTGGCAAATGCATTCCTATGCCATCATAGTTGATTCCATCTGGTAACCATATTCCATGATGGCTGGCTGTCTCTGCCATTTCTCCCCTGTACTATGACCAGTAGTCCTTCTCTCACCATTTAATTGTTTTCAGAGGTTATAGCAGAATTGTATTGAATTGCTGAATGTTTGTAGCTGTCCATATTGTAATGTTCCATTTAGGCAAGTTCATTAACATTTCAGAATATTGATATTTTTTCTAGTTCTTACTACGCTGTGCCATATTGGTAGACAGCTCTTAGGATTATCAACTGCCCAGTTCCAGTTACATGGCTTAACACTAAACCTCATGGAAATCAAATGAATTAATTCCCAGATATTTTTTGTTGGAACTAGGGTATATATCTTTATGGGAAAATGAAAGGTTTAGAAGATCTTGGTCCCTTGAGTCTATATACATGCTTCAAAATGCTGGAGCAGACTGTGCTGCTCTGATAAAACATTTGTTTTTCTTTCTACTTGCTGCTTCCTTTTCAGGGGATGGTGTTGTCAGCTGAGTACATCAAAAAGAAACTGGAGCAGGAGATGGTGCTTTCTCAGGCATTTGGGCGTGATTTGGTGAGTCTTTGTTTTTGTGCAATATGTTCTTGAAGTAGGGTTCACACTTCCATTCATGTGTTTGGTCCAGAATCCCACAAGCAGAGAACAGATTCCAAACGGGATCTTAGCTTTCTTTCCCTTCTATCTTGTCCCCCATGACAATCTCTGCCAATTGCCCCTTCCAACTGAATGGCCCCCTCCATGCATCCAACATTGTTCCCAAGGAACTATTTTAAAGGGTTGTCGCATTTTTGAGAAAGTTGGAGAAGGCAGCTATGATCCCTTCCATAAGTTGTACTCTACTCCACTTGTGGAAGTTAGGATCCATCCCCGTGATTTCCTGTTAAGTATTGAATGTTATGTATGAATCACTAGATCCCACTAAACACATCTCAAAACCTTCCAGAATTGTTGCTGCTCTTGGGCCATTAGATGAATAATCCATTGTTCTGAAAAATAGTATCTTGAAGCAGTGCAGGAAAACTTAAGTCACTGAACTTTTCAATGAAGAAGGTGGTAGCAAAAATTCTTGTTCCAAAATGCTGAAAAGAAAGCCAAAATTCAATTCTATGTTCTGTTATGATGGTTTGCTTAAACCTTATAACAAATCTCACACAAGCAGAGCAAATTAACTTTTCCATTATATCAGTGTGTATATAGTACCTTGACTTTTTTATTTGGTGTTAGTGGACTATGTGTATATTATCTAGACAGACTGCAAGTTCTTTAAGAACTTAACAATAGAAAAAGAAAACAGTCCGTGATTGCCACAGTCAAATGACATATATGAGGAAATTAGCATAATCCCATGATGTTCTGCTGTCTTTTCTTTTGCATCAGTCTGCTTGAGAGAGGTAGAAGGGAGAGAAAGAATGTAATTTTGTTGAGATAACCATAGGCTATCTGTAAGATACTTCTGAGTATGCAAGTTATGAAGTTCTACTACCTAACAACAGTTCTCTGGTGGTCCTGGGAGTGGAGCAGTCCTTGACTCCTGACTCCTGGGACTTAGCTTCTCCTCTCTGTAGGCAGGGCCAGAAAAACTTTGATCCTGGAGGGGAGGGGCTTGTCCTCTGGCTTCCCAGTCTTACCAGCCCTGCCTTCCAAGCAGGACGTCTGGCTATGCTCTGGAGCACGAAGATCCTGGAAGACATCAAAAAAGAAGCAAGAATGAATTTTCCCCACTGATGTTTTTATGTTTGTATGTTATTTTTTGTCTTATATGTATGAAATAAAAAAACTTTTTAAAAAAGAAGAAGCAAGAAGACTGAAGTGCACGGGAGGCAGGAGAAGGTAAACTACCTCCCCAGCCCTCCGCAGACCATGAGTTGGAAGACCACGGGGGAGTTTGATCAGCTGCTGGCAGTCCTGGGAGGCCCCCGGGCAGTCGCGGCAGCTGGAAACCAACCCCCGCCAACGTGCGTGGCTATAAACAGCCAGTTTAAATCCTCCCCCTCTCCATTCTGTGGAGAGTTAGGGGGAGAGCGGCAGGGGCGGGGGAAGGTGCACAAGGAGCATGGTAACTCAACGCTGTCTCATTTGGGGCTGGAACCGCATGCTTTTGCCTGCAGGACATTGGCTCCAACAAGCCTGACCAACCTCGTCTGAATCATGGTAGGGAGAAACCCTTTTGGAACAGGGACAGGCTGGAGTGGTTGGATCCTGGGGATGTCCAAGCGAGAGACAGGAGAATGGAAGCCCCCCCCCCCCGACAGAAGGATGGTTGGGTCACCTTACTCTCCTTATTGGAGCAGTGGATGGGGGTAGGCAGAGGTCATTTCGGGGGGGATCGTGGGGGATCGCAGTTCCCCCGGGTGAGGTACGGGGGGCGGGGCACATGACGAAGCCCGGCCCCCTGCTTCCGGCCACCCCGCTTCCGGCTCTCATTCAGCCAGGAGGAGGCAGGAGAAGAGGGAGGGTAAGTTGCTTCCTCCCTGCCTCTCCCCACCCCTGCCTGCCTGGGGCCAGGGAGGGCCTTTGCGGGGCTTTCTTGCACTCCCGCCGGCCTTGCAGGTCCACCGCCGGGCCCCTCATAGGGCTCAGCAGTGGAGCTGCAAGGCCGCCAGCGGTGGCCGGGATTGTTGGGGGCGGGGTATGTGGCCTTATTACACGCTTCCGGTGATGTCAGGGGGTGTGGCCTTATGACACGCTTCCGGTGATGTCAGGGGGTGTGGCATATGCTTAATGAGTTCCCCTAGCTCTTTTTCTACGAAACGACCCCTGGGGGTAGGGCTGGTGAATGCAGTGGCCCTGAAAGAGAAAGTGTGCTTGTTCACCCGGCCTCTTTCCTGGCTGTGTCTGGGGAGAGTGAGAAAGGCAGGAAAGGCAGCCATTTTGGGGAACCATATAGTGATGGGGTGTTACTTTCACTTTCAGAGTCGAACAAAATGGCTGATAAAGCAGGCCCTTCAAGTTCCTTTAACCTTGATGACTTAGAATCCTTCCAATCTCCTCAGAAGGACTCCCAGGGAGCACATCTTTCCAGGGAGGAAGCCCAGACTAATCTCCTTTCTTGGTTTAAAGAGGAGATGAAGAAAGAATTTAGAGATTTATGGCAACAAACTCAGGGTCCAAAAGGGGTAGGGGCAGCAACTCCCATGACAACTCCCCTTCTAGAAAAAAGGACAGGAGAGTTTCCTCAAGAGATAGAGAACATAGCCCTTTATTTAGTGACCAGGAAGAGGTTTCAGATTCAGCCTCTCCTTCAGACAGGGAAGAGGCTGTTTCTCTGATTCAATCTAGACTTTTTCCTCAGGAGCTGTATAGTCAGTTGCTGCCGAAGGTTTTAAGAACTCTGGAGCTCTCATATACTCCCAAAGAAAAGGAAGATGCAGAGGCTGCAGATTTTCCAGTTGGGTCTGAAAAAACCATTCCCAAACCAATCTCCAAGGCAGCGGGAGTGCCACTACCTGCAGCTTTTTATAACGTCATCATGGCACAATGGGAGCATCCAGCCAACCCCAAAGCTAATAATCCCATGTTTGCAAAATGTTACTTTCTCATTCCAGAAGCTACAAAAAAAGATTAAACTTCCAGTGGTTGACGACCCGATCAATTCACTCGCATCTACTTCTATACTGCCCATGGACGCAGATGGGCTACCCAAGGACAACTGTGACAAGCGTGTCGAGAAGGCACTACGCAGGGATTTTGAAGCATCAGCCAGTTCCCTGCGGGCATCAACTACGGGTTCCTTCTTCACCAGAGCAGCTTACTCATGGGCCTCAGAGTTGACTGCAGCAGACAGTGGTATTCCTAAGAGCCTAAAAGATGAGTTTAAAAAGATAGCCTTAGCCACGACCTTCGCAGCGGATGCCTCGCTGGACGCCCTCTAGTTATCATCTAGAGTGATGGCCTGTACTGTGACGGCTAGACGCAACACATGGCTCAGGAACTGGGATGCAGATCCCTCAGCAAGAGCGAAGGTAGCAGCTGTACCATTCAAAGGAGTCAATCTATTTGGGGCAGCCCTGGATAGATATCGTATTGAGGACAAGGACAAGAAGTGGGTCCTTCCATCAAAGAAGAAGGACGTGAAAACTAAGAGGCATTTTCAGTCCTTTCGAGACTTCAAAAGAGATGACAGACAAAGCAATAACAGAGCATTCAAGGGCAGATGACAAGCGAGAGCTAAATACTCAAGGCCACATTCTTTCTCAGGAAAACCGGGCCAGAATCAAAAGGGACTCAAGAAAGGAACTCCGGCATGACTGTGCCAAGACTCCAGACATAGAAGGAGTGGGGGGCCATCTGCAGCGCTTTTCTCATCAGTGGCACCAGTCAATCACGGACAAATGGGTTCTGGAGACAGTGACCCACGGCTACTCCCTGGAGTTCTAAACCTTCCCACCTTGTCAGTTTTTGGAACTGCCAAAGAATCGTTCCACAGACAAACACAAACTACTTATATGAAGGCCATTCAACATCTCCTCAACATTGGGGCCATAGAAAGGATTCCAGAATGGGAAAAGTCACAGGGAGTATACTCTGTCTTCTTCATGGTATCCAAGAAGAATGGGGACGTCAAAGTCATACTAGATCTGAAGTGGCTGAACAGGTATATAAAGACAAGAAGATTCAAAATGGAAACAATGAGATCGATTCATACAATCCTTACCTACATATTCCAATCCGGGAAACGCATTGCAAGTTTCTTCATTTTGCATACCACAGGAGGCATTTTCAATACAGAGCCTTCCCTTTTGGACTAAAATCATCTCTAAGAGTATTCACCAAAGTCCTGGTAACACTGATGGTCTTCTTGAGAATGAAGGGTGTGTCTCTGTTCTCTTATTTGGACGACATTTTGATAAACACGTCAGCATCTAGTACTGACAATGCAGGTACTCAGGGACCATGGGTTCATGATAAATATGGAGAAGAGTGTCCTGGAACCATCTCAAGTGATAACCCATCTGGGTGTGCTGATACATTCAACAAAAGACAGGGTATTTACATTCAACAAAAGACAGGGTATTTCTAACTCAGGACAGACAACAAAAATTCTACAGGAGATGAATCAGGTTCTGAACTCAACATCAACAGAGCTCATGTCTTTGGCCTGTCTTTTGGGTATGCTGGTCTCCTGTCAGGATCTAGCGTCGTGGGCCAGGTTCCACACATGTCCTCTTCAAAGATTTGTCCTTCAGTACCAGGAGGAGAGAGCTCACAAAAGGACCCAGAAGGTACAGCTCCCACTGTCAGTGAAACAGGAATTGAGGTAGTGACTGGACTCTGCATGTTTTCGAGAGGGGATACCATTAAGGGATCCTGAGAGAATGGTGAACACCGCAGATGCGAGCCTGTTTAGGTGGGGAGCACACACCTTAGGAAACATGATGCAAGGAACCTGGTCAGAGGAGGAGACGACCAGGACCATCACTTTCTTGGAACTGAGAGCAATAAAGCTCGCATTGATTCACTTCCAGAGGCAATTGAAGGGCCAGCATGTGCTTATTCAGATGGGCAGTATGACGGCAAAGGCTTACATCAACAAACAGGGCGGCACACACTTCAAGAAGCTAAACCAGGAAGCGAGGCAAGTGATAGAATGGACAGAATCGCATGTGTTGTCCTTAAAAGCTGTCCATGTAGCCAGTCAGGAGAACATCGCCCCCTGCATCAACAGGTCCAACCTCAGCGGAAGATGCCAAGGTTATGTTACTGAGAACCTCAACAGGTCTTGGAACCACACCCTCCCTGTCCAGAAGGGTGCAATGAGGATCAGATCTGCTTTTTGGTCTATCATGTTCTGAATCACCTTTGGAATGAGCAGAAAAGGTAGAAAGGCATATAGAAGGACCTTTGGCCATGGCAGACGCAGAGCGTCCGTTCCTATTGCTTCTGGATTCCTTGACTTTGACACAAAGTCTCTTGCTTGTCAATTTTGTTCCGTTACAAAAAGATCTACTTCTGCTAACCCGATCTACTTCTGCTAACCCGATCTACTTCTGCTAACTGCTCAACTGATGAAACACTTCTCTGTGCAACATCTATTCCTTGGTTCAGCATCCACATATTAGATGGTTCCTGAGGGGTACCGTTCTTATTAACCCACCTCAGGTTCATAGGTTTCCCAAGTGGAATCTAAATACGGTGTTGAGAGCATTATGTAAAGAGCCTTTTGAGCCAATGGCCTCCTGCCCGTTAAAAGAGTTTACATTTAAGACGGGTTTTTTTGGGTGGGGACTAATTTGGCACACCGGGTGTCAAAGCTAAAGGCTGTGTCAGTGAACAGATAGCTTTGTACCTTTCATAATGATAGAGTGGTACTTCGACCAGACCCGGCTTTCATACCTAAAGTGAATTCGGCCTTTCACAGGTTGGAGGACATTGTACTCCCTTCCTTTTGTCAGGACCCCAACCATGAGAAGGAAAAGGTCTGCCATCGCCTGGGCATGTGTAGGGCTCTGAGTTTCTATCTAGACAGGAACAAAGGGTGGAGGCAAACTGAGTCTCTGTTCGTGTCTTTTAGAAAGTCAGCATTAGGTATTTCCACATCCACCTTAAGTAGGTTGATCAGGGGGTGTATCATTGAGGCTTATAAGGCACAAGGTCTGGTTCCACCTGAGGGGATCACAGTCCACTCTTTAAGGGGGGTGGTCACGTCAGCAGTGTATCGGGCGTTCCCGTCACTAGAAGTCATTTGCAAGGCGGCCACCTGGAAATCCACCCATTCTTTACAAGAAACTACCGGATCGATAAGTTGGCCTCCACAGAGGCTGCGTTTGGTAGGAGAGTCCTGCAACATGCCCTGTGAGGACCAGAAGCCATCAGACCCATCCTGGGGAGCACTGCTCTGTTAAGTCCCAGGAGTAAGGAGTCAAGGACTGCCCCACTCCCAGGACCACCAGAGAATGGAAGATTTGTCTTCACTTACCATGAACTTCCTTCTCGGTGGTCCAGGAGTGGGGCAGTCCTACCCACCCTTGTTTTGGGGGGAACGACTTTGGGGGTGCTCATTAGGGGATGGTCCTGGGGGTCTGCCTCTGTGGTCCACTTGGTGCTCAACAAAAAATAAATATGTATAAGATCAGAAGACTGGAAGGTTGTTTTTAAGGGGTTGATGCATTGTATCTTTGTTGAATTCCTCAGTAGTTGAATAAAGTTGGTGTTGTTATGAAAAACGTTTGGTGTTGCACACGGTATCCATTGGGGGGAGAGGTGTGTTCTTTGTTTCTTTATCAGATTCATGTAGGTTGTGGGAAGAAGACTGGCTTGGTGAATGACTGGGAAGCCAGAGGATAAGCCCCTCCCCTCCGGGATCAAAGTTTTGCCAGCCCTGCCTATGGAGAGGAGGAGCTAAGTCCCAGGAGTAAGGAGTCAAGGACTACCTGGACTACCAAGAAGGAAGAGTCACGATAAGTGAAAACAAATCTTCTGTTACTGTGAACAGCTTGTGCCTCAGGGTTTACCCCATTGTTTTAAGTAGAGCTTGCTTTTTGCCCACCCTTGTTTGAGGTGTTCTGTGGGATGCAAATTTCTAAAATCAAAGTTGGAAATATCAGGAGATACTTCGAAAGATTAAAAACGGGGCATCAAGAAACTGCGCTTTGAAAGACCTAGTCTCTATTGGCGGCAGTTGTTAGATGGTGATCTTAGGGATCCCTGGGTGTATACTCGAAGTGAGAAGGAGTTTGTATGTATGGACAGAGTATGAGAGTGCTTGTTATGAGAAGGATTTCCAAATCCTTCAGGTATTGTAACTGGATTTTGTTTTTCAGGGCAGAGGAACAAAACACTATGGCCTCATTGTGGTGGGTCACTCCTTGGGAGCAGGCACAGCCGCCATTCTTTCCTTTTTGCTGCGTCCACAGTATCCCTCTTTGAAATGTTATGCCTACTCTCCCCCTGGTGGGCTGTTAAGGTAGGTATTTATATTTAGTGAATAAAGAGACTGGTGGATTGCAGTCATTAATGGTGACATATTAATTTCTGTTGTACCATACTAAGAGGCACAAGCAGTTTT